AGAGAGAGGGTAGATGAAAGTTTTGTGAATGATAACTGATTAATTAACCGTATTCGGAATGATATATTCAGGATTAATTGTGGACTTATTTAGAAAATGATAAAATTATGTTTTATGTAATATCTTTTGTGTGTTGATCCAAGAGCATAGCTCAAAATTAAGATACTAAATTGAGATAATATTCATCCCCATAAATGAACATACCTCTTATTCCTGCATATTCTTTTTCCCTGATGACATATGCGCTAATGAATAAAGCACATATCATCAGGAAAAAGAAAGTAAAAAACTCATTAAGAAAAAAAAACAGGTACATAAAAGCTTTACTGATTAGGTATTATAAAATTACTAGTATAAGTAAATCAAGGTTAAACAATCTCGATAAACAAATCCGAAACATTTTAAGATGTCAAAGAAATATTTGTAAAAAATTTCTGATGTAAATTCGCTTTATACTTATTTTTATTTAGCTCATTCATCTATCAATCAAAAATTGCCATTTTATTTTTGAACAAAATTTTTTAAAAATTTACCACGTTCATGTTGTTACTTTGAAATAACTAATTCTAAAATTCTTGCTAATTTAAATTTTTATGGTTTATTAGTAAGTAGCAGGTTTAAAAATAAATCATACAAAATAACAATAACAACATGAAAATGGTAAATGTTTAACTTATCGAAATCTTTGAAATTCAACCGAATCTTTTGTTTTAAAAATTATTTAACAGCAGATCACGTGCTTCTTCGATTATCCGATTTTGCGGACGATCCACCAATCTTTATTACTGTTCGAACAAGGACAAAAGAAGGTGCCGTATCATCCGATTCAAACGTTTGCCGTGTACCACGCGATATAACCAACACCACCGAACTTACAAATCGTACCCCAACACTTAGCATGCAATCGAATCCACTGAATCTGTTGCAAACATTGCCTGCTACTGGTGGACGATCTTCATTGGTACGCTATAATTGGACTCAGTTTTGTTTAATCATTACTTCAATCCCAAATTTACTCATAGTAAAGACGTAATAACACGTGAAACTACGTGCAACATATATTCTCACAAAAATAACAACATTCGTTACTTCGAGTTTCAAATTTTATATTTAAAGTCTCAGGTGTTTACAATTTTAATTTACATTTTTATATTTATATTTAAAATTAAGAGGTCAATCTTCACAAGTGAAGAAATACTTTCCTCAAAGCAGTACTTGTTAACTTGACTTGTTAACTTGTTAACTTTGTTAGTTAGTTTGTTAACTTGTTAACTTTTACATAATTGTTAACTTGACTGATCATTAATTTTCTCTATCTCTCTTTCTCCCTTCTCTCTGTCACTGTCTTCCTTTTTTCTCCGTTTCCAATGAAGTATATAGATGAACATACACACACAAATAAAAAAAAAATGGAGAAATCTAGCTTAAAATTATTAAAATCAATAATATCTTAAGCGCAACGGTTTCATATCCTCGAAATACACACCGCCATCACATTACCGCCATCACCACCATCACATCACCGCCATCACCACCATCACATCACCGCCGTCGTCGCCATCACCGCCATCACCATCGCTCATCATAATTGTCGTTCCATTCTCGAAGTGTGTCATTTTAGTTTCAGATGTAAAGAAAATATCTGCTTTTCTTATTAATATCATTCAAAAGTTAAGCAGTTTTAACCAGGAAATACCTCTCTTCCCTTTTTTCCATTTCTCTTTCTTTCTTTCTTTCTTATCCCTTTCTTTTCCTTTATTTCTTTTTTCTTATCTTTTTTTCTTTCTCTCTCCCTCTCTTTTTATTCATATATTAAAAGTTCAACAGTGAGCAAAAAATAAGACTGAGCAAAGGAAAAGGAAGAAAAAAAATTGCATATATTTTTAAGATATCATCTCTTATTCCGATCAATATTCCCGGTGGACAAACACCAATTGTAACAACAACAACAACAACCACTGCTACTACTGCTACAACAATAACAGCACCAATAACAACAGCAACAACAGCAGCAGCAGCAGCAACAACAACAACAACAACAGCAATGACTGATCTTTTGCATACTTCTCAGGGAAATGTTGCTCCTATCAATTCGATGATAATACCATGTCCATCTGCTGCAACAACATTTGGGAGTCATCATGTGACATCTGGTCTGTCAACTTTCTGCTTCTTTCAATTTACTTCTCCAACAATCGTTTCTCTTTTTTAAAGTTTCCTTTAAGTTAACTTGGCAGCTTGTTTAAGCTGTAGCACAATGCCTTATCCCTCCCATTCATGAAGGCCTATCTCTTGAATGGCCTATAGCAATGGCCTTTTTGCTAAGTCTGCATGTGCCTTATACTCATTTGATAACTGGTCATTGAAGAAGCAGTGTGCAGACTATCTCTCCAATCACAAGTAGTCTGGCCTTTTTTTGCTAGTGTCATTTACACTTTGTGAAAGCTTAGCTCGTTTCAATATTAATAGTAATCAAGCGTTATCTTGGTACCTCGTCAATCCATGCATGTTTGTAAGCGATTTTCAGGTAGCAATATGTTGTCAAGGTATTCAGGTCTCGATCAAATGCATATCGGTGAACATCATCAATTGGTACAAAGTAGCGGTGCTGGTAGTGGTGGTTAATGATAGTAGTAGTAGTAGTAGTAACGGTGGTAGTGGTGG